GGGAATCAAGAAACATTATATTTAAATATTATTAAACTTTATCGGCATAATATTTTAGAAATTTGGTAGCCCTAATATTTTTGTATATATATATGTTCACCCTCTCCAAACTAATTCTATTATCGCAGCTCCTCAATTTTATATCTCTCATATTCTATTTAGTATATGACTTAATCTTTATCTTTCTAGCCGCCGCTAAAATTACCCTTGCTCCTTGCAGCCTCTCTTAAACCTCATATATATATATATATTAAGAGATCATGATTCATGAAGCCAACATTATATAGGACAAAATCGGTCACTTCGTATTCTTTTTCATAGTTTTTAATCATCGTTTTGTTTTTGTTTTGTTAGAGGTAATAAAACAATCTTTGCTAATTCCATCTTTTTATTTTAAGGTTTGTCATATTTCATAATTTAGCTTTATGGTTTTACTTATCAAAGAAACGTCAATAATTACATGTGTTCTCACATTTTATCGTGTATTATTATTAATTATTGACGTTTCTTACATACAGGTTCATCATGGTATCAGGTAATCATCAGTTTGATCTTTTTGATAATGTGATTGTATTTTTTTGTTAATATTTTATGAACGTCGGTATTTCATTGTACCCGTCAATGAGTTTTTCGATAGTGGGATTGAAATTTTGTGTGTTTAGGCCCTCTACCTAATCTAAATAATTTTTATATTTATTTTATAGATATATTATATGGATATTTGAAAATAATACTTTTGTATCTTTCTTTTATTCCATTTTGTTATAGGTCTATATTCATTTATATCTGTACTACTATTAATTTTTTGCTAATTTTCCATATTTTACTCATAATTAAATTCCTAGGTCTTGTGTTGTATATAAACTTTTTTTCTTACTCATTGCACATCGTTTCTTTTTTGTTATATTTTTAGATTTGCTGATTTAGTTCTTCTTTCGCTTTTTGTATTTTTTTAAATTGTAAAAGAATTGTTTCTAATGAGTTTCCAGTTTTTGTTTTTCTTTTCCAAGTGAATCTCTATCTACTTCTTCCTAGGTATGATTTATACGAAGCATCTGTTATATATTAAATCGTTTTTAGTATGTACAATCGTTAAGAGCATATCGATTTATTTACTGTGTTGTTTACTTTCCGTCTTTTGTTCGCCGTATATTTTCTTTAACTACGGTTATATTAGTGTTGCTCATGGTTTCGAGTTTTTCTATGAGTTTTCAGTTTTTGATTTTTTTTTGGTCTTTTCTTTGTTACAAGTTATGGTCTCCAAATAATTCTTAATAATATCTAGTATATACTAAAACGTGTTTATATGCTACTATTGTTAATTCGTGTCTATATATTTCAACGATTTCTTATTTAGATAATAATAATTTAAAAAACATTATGGAGTTTTAAAAAGAGTTTCGTAATGACAGAATTTCTTGTAATCGCTAGGTTCGATTTGGAAGACTCAAGCTCAGATG